AGTATCCCTAGTCCACAAGACTACTTACATATCTAGTGATTTAAAAAATATATATTGTGTCACCAGAACCAGTGACTTTCTTTTGGACAATGATGGGTGAATATTGACAAATTCTTTCTGCTCAATTTTCTTTTTACATATCTATGGCTATGTAAGTATTTTCTGAATAAAACATAAAATGGTCCCATAAGTATTACTGTTTATAAATATGGGGAAACAGAACAAAACATTCAAAATCAGAACTATCTGGAAAATATGAAATATGAGGTCAGACAATTAAGTTTGAGAACTATCCTAGAAAAAGTGCTACATACCTCATTGCTGAATATCACTATGGTCACCTTTGAAGTACTCCCCTTGGGAAGTTATGCACCAAAGCCAGCGCCTAGTCCACCCTTCAAAGCAATTTTGGAACTCTTTTTCTGAAATGGCCATCAGAACCATTGGTCATTACATTGTCTTTGATGTCCTGAATGTCATCAAAATGTTTTCTTTTCAATATTTCCTTTATCTTTGGGTAAAGAAAGAAATCATTGGAGGCTAGATCAGGTGAGTAGGGAGGGTGTTTCAATACAATTATTTGTTTACTCGCTAAAATTTCCTTCACATACAGCGCCATGATGAGCTGGTGCATTGGTCGTGATGCAAGAGCCATGAACTTTTGGCGAAAAGTTCAGGTCATCTAACTTTTTCACACAACTTTTTCAGCACTTCCAAATAGTAAACTTGGTTAACTGTCCAGTTACTACAAATTCCTAATGAATAATCCCTCTGATATCAAAAAAGATTATCAACATTGTTGCAAACAAGTTCACGAACTTACTTATCAGACCTCGTATACACTTGCCATATAAATACTCTAGGCCAAGAATGGCAAACACATTGCCCCATCAATGGTAGTCATCACTAACTAATCGTTCTTTCCTACTGAGCTGGACAAATCAGTCTGAGATGTGAAGCAAGATGACATCTATTTCCATCTATGTTCAAGGCAAACCAATGTCTTGATATCACATTACAACTTTGTATAATTGATTAAGACAGCAGCTGCCAAATTAAGTTCTGAGTTATACTAGTCCTGTTAACAGGTGTTCCACAAACAAAATGAATTTATGGTCACAAAATTTGGGGAAATGGCTTTTAACAAAAAGTTGGTTTCTTTACTGCAGGATTCCAAGAGCCTTTAATGTTCTAATAAGCACTGTGACTCTCCAGGGAGGGAAATAGTATGCAGTATTTATAAATTTATTTGAACCCTTCATGGAACTCTTTTGTTCATAAGCATCTTATGAATATTGAATCAGGCTTTTCTTTTACATGAACCACATTCCAATTATGTCTTCTTGAAGCCCAGGTTAATGTTTTTAAAATCAAATCAGAATTGGAGACTCTTGGCGATAATAAATTCCATACATTGAATGTTGATTTTTGCATGTGTGTGTCACTCTCTAAAGGTTAGCAGTTCTCCAGTTATCTAAAGGCAATCTTGTGTTATCCTCCTATCCTCTGACCATACTGTTTCTATTTTTGGTAGATAAGTGGTGTGTGTATGTGTGTGTGTGTGTGTGTGTGTGCGTGTGCGTGTGTGTGTGAGTGTAACTGTGTTACAAACATAGTATTATATTATTTCATTATGCATGGAAGTATTATTTATGGAGGGCATAGTATGACAGACCTCAATGATGGATCATTTGGAATAATCCAGTCTAAGAGCTACAAAACCATCTACAGCTCTTACTTTGAAACTTTGAGCTATCCCCTTTATGCTGTTTGCTCATAATGAGTGGTAGTATGTTGCTTCTATTCTACGTAGATAGCAGTTGCTTTTCAAGTGACCTCCAAAGACTTTTTTAATATAAAATGTGCAGTTAGGAGTATTTGGGCTAACATAAAATTTTTCTTACCCCTAAGGGTTCCAACATTCTGCAAATGTGTGCTGCCTTCAGCAATTAGGAACTTCTTGATGAAACAAGGGAGATTGTAATGGTGGCATTAAATCTAATATTTTGAGATTTGGATCTCTGGTATAATTCGATTTAACAAGTGTAATTTAGCTTGGGACTTTTCGAAAGCTTTCTTTTCTTTCTTTTCTTTGCCTTCTTTCCACCAAAGCTTAATAGCTGTTTACTATGCAGTTTCAATGGTTCTGTTTACTTCCACCATGCAGGCCCTGTGACTTGGGAGAAATTTTGCATCTGTATGGGATCCACTCCTGGCTCCAACTTTGATCTACATAACATATGCAAAGGTTTTGATAACGAGTTCAACTCCTTCTCTCACACCATGGACAAAGCCAAACTCAGTAGAAAATCCCACTACAGGCTGAAGCAATTTACATCCTAATTAGAAAATATAAAACTTGAGACAAAACAAAGACTCAAATGCTGTCACAACCCGCAAGCAGGCAGCCACAACACTTCTGACTGCAGCACTGGGTATCCAAGCCTAGAAATTAAAAGACGCTTAAAACTTGGTTTGGAGGCTTCTCAGAGATGATGAAGCTGTTGGAAAATAGTATCTTTGAGAAAAGGACAAAAGAGTCTAGTGCCACCTAAAGATGAGGGACTCTAATATGAAGGATTATTATTTTGAGCAGTTTACAAAACAATTCATTGCAGTGCAGAAAGAAAACACTGAAACATCAATTTTTCTCATTCTTTTAAAAATTTTAATATAGATATTATAAAGCATATGTACTGTAATGTATAAAGTATATATGCAAGGTAGTATATGTATATAATCTATAAATACATGTACATATATTGGGGCCCATGCTCAAAAGTCTCCTTTTATTACAGATAAGAATGTGCGAGGGCAGGTCGAGTGGCGTGGTGGTTAAGAGCTGGCTTGGGATGCCAGAGGGCCCCGGTTCGGATCCCACATGAGGGCCAGTGACACTGCCCTCTACAGCTAAGATGCTGAACAAC